ACCCTGTGACTGCAGATCAATTACTCATACCTACACACACACATTGTTTCGTCACGTTGTCACCCTCTTATATATACCAGACTACCCTCAATCTAGTAATCTCCCGAAGGTTCGAGAAAGAAGTGGTGTGACACTAGTCACGTTACCCAACAATATATATATATGACTTATTGTCAGTATGTCTTACTTCCCATATGATTGTTCCAGGAAGAAAGACAAAAATAAATTTCCACTTGATTGAATCATAAGGTCAAAAGTTATTTGGAAGTTAAAGTTTGGTTGCAATATCCATATGTTACTATCAGTTGGTATTACTTGCTTAAATGCAGTTTATATATTAGAATAAACCTTATTCTCAATCATTGCTTGAGAAGTCGCTCAATGGGTAACATCCTACCACCTCTGATTTACACAAGACTTAGTAATGTAGGATTATTATAGGCAATTATTATAGGATTATTTTTAGACAATTTCAGTCTAATTAACCCTTCCCCCTAAAAAAAGAATGCAAGAAATATAAAAATATTTTTTATTCATTTATCTATGGATATTATCATCACTAAAATCTGGAGTAGGTAACTCACAATATCTTTATTCAGATTAAACCAGATTTCATACTTTTAGGTTTCCTGGCTTATTATTACTGTAGATACAGCTAGACTTAAAGTGAAAAATATTTTTAGTGAGGCTTATAAATTAAACATTGAATTTGTAATCATTCTTTAACTAATGACACTATTGTGATTTCCCCTGTGCATGTACTAGTTTGATGTAAATGTTCTTAATATTTTCGGAAGTTTTAATAATACCATTTCATTACATATCTATATAGATGCAAGAAAAGAAACTTTTTCTCCTATAGAGTTTTGAGTTTATCTGAATCATCCTATGAGATTCTTCTTCATTTTGATATGCTGGTGGAGAAAGAAGAGATTGAAGTTGGGTCTGAGGAATCAGAATGACTGTGGGTAGGCATTGGGTACCCATAGTAATACTGACTTGAAACTTTACTGTAGTTATTACATAGTTATGCTTTTTTCTTGTTTGGAGAAAAAGGTCAAGATCTTGCTTAAAAAGGTAGTCTTGCAGAATGAAAAATTATTCTCTGGGATTAAAACTTGGATGTCAGTGTCATGCTGCAAGCTCATTTGTGCATTATTCCTTTTGACTTTTCCCCCAATTCCATCAGGAGAACCTTTACTCCCCCCCTCCACACACACACAAAAAAGTTATATTTAGAACTGAAGTTAATATTACTTAATTGTGAGAGAGATTTTTGAAATTGCATCAGTTTTTACATTGGCTGTCACTGAGGTATAGAATTTTAATATTCCAATACATTGGAGCAGTTTTTCCTTCTAGCAGGAGAGGAGCTTGGACTAGAAAAAGTACACAGATGCTTTGTTCAGATCTCTAGCCCGCTAGATCTTGGTATATCTTAGATCACAATACGATTGTGAGCTGAAACTTAGATTGAGTAAAATCTGTTTCATGCTATAACTTTTAAGTTAGTAAGTGTATGTTCACGAAATTTAGCAGATAATCAGTAAATGTCACAATGCTTTCATACACAAAATATCAAATTTTTTTTTTTATTAAGTCTTTACGGTTTTTCTCATGCATTTTTTCTTTTGCATGTTGCCTATCCAAC